AAATTACATGTATGTACTGTATTTTAGGTTTAGTGCTGTTGCATGTTTAATAATTTGTACAGGCCGAGATCATTAATATTGCGATAGTTTAGAAGAACCGTACCAGCTAGTTTCGCAATATTTGATGTCTTCTTAACAACAGAAAAGTACAGCATTTCTATCTTTGTTTGTAGAGACTTAAGAGTTTGTTGGGCTAAAAGCTCTTTTCCTTTCTTCAAAACTCCTTGCAGATCAAGCTGATTTTCGATCTTGTTTTCTAATTCGGCCGTTCTGTTGCCTTTGGCTTGAACATCCTTTAACTTGTTTATATACGAATGGTACATATTTTGGTAGGTAATAATGGTACCTATTGCTGTAGCTGAAGAATTTTCTAGACCTTCGATAATTTGAACCTGTCGAAAATGTTCACACACGAGAAAGTACTCCTCTTCAACAGTCAGGTATGTTCTGGATTCAGATCTTAATTTTTCTTCTGAAAAGGACAAAAATGGTAATACACTGTAAGAGACTTACAGCATATTGTTCATTTATAAATAAATAGGCCTGATATCAACCGTATTTCAGTTGTTAAGTTAATGCTTCTTTTATATCAATATGCAAAATTATTTTGAGAGTGTTCGACTGATATTATTTCTTATTACCTCTGGCAATTTTTTGCACGTCAGATTTACACTGGTCAAACTGTACATTTTCATTCTCCAACTAAAGATCGTTCACCAACTCCTCTAACTGCTCTGTTGCTTTTTCTGACATTTTCTTAGCATATTTTTAAGGAAAAACACACACACATTTTACCGTGACTTGATGCAACGTTATACGATAACTTTACCAGCAACTTGCGAATCCTTTAAAATTCAGTCCAATGTTAAAAAAGAACCATTTGTGGAGATACAAAATGTCAATCTATATACATACTCGATAAAATCTTTTACATAAAGTATAAACCATATTTTTTATTTTCCTTTTGTTCCACGCCCTTGCGCATTACGTTAATACTTCATCACGACCTATAGAAATAATAGAAAATTTAAAGCTACACCTGAAGTGGGGTACCAGAGAAGATAGATTTTTCAATACGCTTCTTGGTTGATATTATAGACTAATTGAAAAATACAGTATGAACATTGACGTTTCCATCAAACGTCGAAGTTCTTGTCAATTGCGTACTAGCCAGCACACAATTCTTTAGCAAACAAGGGAGGGAGCTTTTAGGTGCAAACACTGGATTTCTGCAAATTTCAAGACACAAACCTTCAGGAAACATGTACTTTGTTGTGTTGCCAAACCTAGAAAAGTATGAATTAATCTGTTCGACTTCTTCTCATGTAGCACATGCCGCTTCCTCTTGCTAGCGACCTCCCCAAAGTACCTTTAATAACGTAAAGATAAAACGAATGTTGAATTTCAAAATAATATACCCTTTATATGAGATAAAGCATCAAGAAACGTGGTATAAATGTTTAAGATAAACACCAAAATGTTTTAAATCACGAGCTCTATCAAACTAGCCTACTTGTGGAGCCCTATTGCAAATTTGAGTTTTCCGCTGTTATCCCTACTATCATACCGGATTTAACAAATATCTTATTTCAAAATCACTTCAAATGTTTGAAAATTCACTCTTTGAAATAGCAGTAATGTATATATCATGGTTACAATAATATTACCTGACATGCCCAGCTATGTGCTTTGGCATGCATTACCGAAAGTGCTGGTTTGATGTTGTAGCTACTAAAGTCAATGTCCGATTTCGCTGCCCATTTCCAAAATTTGCACATGATATCCTGCCAAAAAAAGGTCAATGGTTTTTCCAGAAACTTCTTCAATAGAATGTAATGTGCATAGCCATATAATTCTCCTTGGGTCATGTTGACAGCAAACTGAGCAATGGAATGCCTGCAGCCAGCGATGTCCAACCCAGTTTCGTCAAGTTTAGCATTTTAGTGGTGTTTGTTTCAGGCAGCCTTCCATGCTGTGTGTCCGCATTTGTTGCCTTTCATGTCCTGATGTATAAAAAAGGAAATATACTTCAAAAACCCTATATAATAAACTCTAGCTAGTACATTAACAATCATGGCAAAAAAAAGAAATTAATGACTCCAGTTTTAGCTTACATGCTGCAGCAACAAGCCAGCCTGAGGATTTTTTTCCGCTATGTAAATTTTGAGTTATTATATAATTATTTATGTCTTTAGAAATTCATTGTTTTCACAGTCAATGAACACCAAAATATTAGCATAGCGGGACAAATCGTCAGACTCAGGCTGGCTACGTTACTGTTACCTGCACATACAGGTACCAACTGCATTTTGTATCCTACTTATTATAGCTATCAAACTCTACAATTACTGTATGGTATTACCGCACCTGATCTCCCTGATGCTTATACAATGCATTTAAGTGAGACTGAACGCTTTCTTTTTCAGCAATGAATATATCGCCGTAATAGCACTTGGCCCGTGACCTTAATGAATAATGAGAATAAAATCGTAACAGTATTCCACAAAAAGAATATAACGAGAACCTCAGCATTTTGAGTGAAGGCCATAACAAGTTATTTATTTGTCTTGGCTCTAATGGCACAATTACTGGTTTTACTTTATATAGCATTGTCAAAAATCGTCATTCTTAAAAGTTAGAGCCCCAATTATGTAGATATGGCATCAAAAACTGCACTTACTTGCCAGAACTTTTGTACCGGTAGAGCTTCATATTCCCATCTACATGGCAGGAATGTTGTTCTTTCTCACAACATGGACACTGCAACTAATTAAACCCAGCTAATGTTTCTAGTTCATACTGACAATACTTCCATTCTTTAAAGGCAGCTGAAAATCATCATCCTAATAATGAAAATTGAATATGTATCAAAAAATAAATATATGATAACAGTTACATAGCAAAAAGAACTCAAACATTCAGAGCAAATGCCCCAACATTTTAAGCAATTATGCTACAGTGAACAGGGATGCATTTAATTACATATTAGTGTTAACTGTCAATAGGTAATACAGTATTCTTACTTGGAAGAATCAGTAGGAGATATGGCCTAACTTTAATACTGAGACAACAATAATTCAAACCCTCTATTTGCCACTGTGATACTTTAGCATTTTGCTCTGCCTAATATCAAATTATTGTACTGTAAATATAGCTCACTGCAATTAATTAGTTTATACATGTCTGAATGATCATACAGTACAATATGGGAATTAAAAACTACAAATAACATAATTTACCCTTCCTTTCTGTGTTGAAAACTCTCCCAGTCCTTCCAAAAAGCTCTTTTGTGAAGTTCCTTGCATCTGTTTCTGGAATATGTCCCAAATACGGAGCACATCTTGATGAAATATGTAAGAACCTGATTTCAAACTTCCTGGCCAATATCCATTTTTTATCATACAACAGTAATCATTCCATGGTTCATAAACAACATCACAATTGGTGCATTGGACAACACACTTATTAAAGTCAAATCGCCCTATTTGAACAAACAAAATGTTACAAGTTGATACAGTCACCAACAGCACTTAACACAGATTCTCAATCAGCAATGTTCTGACAACACATAATTCTTAACCCATGGAGTTATAAAAAATCTTCAAGAGGACCATTAATTTGAACCCCACCCTGATGCGCACTATTAATCGAATCTAGCAATCGAATCTGTTTAATGATTCTTTAATGGGAAAAATATAATGCTGTACCCAAAGTTAAAAACCTCATGTAGCATGGCAGGATCATATAAAAATATTCAGACTAATGACTAATCATTTGGATGAAAACCCCACAATAATCAAAGTAATCATAATTTGTTAAGTAATTAATGATTGTAAAAGACAGTTTTTTAAATAAATTCAGATATGTAATTTAAGATATATACTAACCATTAGTGGTTATGACAGCTACAGTTTCCTTTTTGGAAGTAAATATCAAAGATTCTGGTGTCTTGCATGAAGGGCAGTTTTCATTTCCAAAAGGCAATATTCTCTCTAAACAAACAAACATAATAAAACTACAATATAAAAGCAATTCATGTTATACAGTACTATTAGTGCCTGCTTCGTAACTCATTACTAAAATTGTCTGGTGTTAGCCTGAACTGAATTTTGAAGGGTGTTTATCATGGATGAGTTAAGGTTGCACATAAAGTAAAAGAATGTATACATAAACCTGATTCAATCTTTGAACAATTATCCCATTTTTCCATTGGTGAAGCAGAGTCAAAAAATTTCCCATTCCAAATTTCTCGGTCATGAAAAGCTATTTTCTCATCACAAACGTCACAAAGAATAAATGATAGACCACACTGGTGACAATGAATTTGTGCATCCTTCACAAGGCAAGAGTCCTGAACATTTCTCTGGTTGTAAATGTTCACCAGAAATAACACAATTAAATATTATGTTTCTTGCTTTGGCCCAGTTTTCATGAAAAGCTGTCATTCGTTCTTCCCAGGTAGATACTTTCTTGGTAATAACAAGAGAATCCAATAATGTCTTGCATCTATTAGCTGCGGTAAGCAGAGTTTCTTCATCTAAATCATAAAATTTTATTTAACTGTTTAATAAATATCAGATTATCCAGTAAGAACATGAATGCAGAAAATTATGCTGAAAACAATAAAAATGATGTTAATTGGGGTATATTCCATTAAATTAAATATTAAATTCCTGTATTGCTTGTTTGATTCATTTTCTTTATCCCTCATTAGAATGTTAATTACTGTATTCATAAATACAGTGTGGTTAGTGGCGTAAGGGGGGGGTGTCAGGGTGTCAAGTGACGGGGGGGCCCTAAGCTTTAGGGGCCCCCGGCAAAAATGAGCATAAAAAATTAATAGTACATTTCTGTGGAATTAAAGTAAGAAAATTAGATACGGTGCTGCTACCTCTATCTGAGTTTCTCATAAATGATATGTCATCATTTGACGAAAAACAATGCTGCGTAGGCAGCGCAGCATGTCAATTAGAAACATTCAAATCTATATAACCGATAAAATGAAGTATTTGATATTTTTGGTTAATACAGCTGAATTGAAGGTTTGTAGTCTCTTGAACTCTCTTCAGCGATGGCGTTAACGACAAAACATCAAAAAAGGTAAATTATTTATGATCTAATCCTTTGTAATCTGTCATGCATATCATTTTTGCATAAGTCAAAATTAGCAATAATTCCTTGTCTGGCATGACTCTTATAGATCTTGTGAATGACTGAATCTTCAAACAACTGTACGAACAACTGGCCTGTAACAATTACATTAGAAAAAAGACAAAGAATCGACTGCTTTTCAATATTTTTTATTTATATATACAAAAGTCAAAGGATGCAGAAACTAGGTTTGATACTTCGCTTGCATTTTCTTCAAACTTTATATTAAATACTACATTGTTTTATCGAAAGCAAACATGAAACGAAAGTATAAATCAGGATCTGCAAAAAGAGCGGAAAAGAAATATTGAAATAGCTAAAAAAAATACAGCCCCAATAACCTCATACTTTGAAAAAGCTGAAAATGTTGAGAGTGATGTCTGTGGTGCTGAAGATAATCCATCGACGACTACGATTTCCGTGGCTGAAGAAGAATCTCAATTAAGTACGTCAAATCAAGATGTAGACAGTGGGAGCATCGACAAAAACGCGGAAACTTCTAATGATCAATTAGGACTTTTTAATCTGGCCAATAAATTCCCTACAGACAGAGGGCACTTCCCATCTTTAATTGAAGATGGGAATTCAAAGAGATGTATTCTAAATCATGGCCCATGCAGACCTGATGGCCCATTTACTGTGGAAGATGAACAAGGTAACATAACCACAACCTTCAGTTCGTCATATTATCAACTTCACACCAAGAACAAAACTTGTCCGAGATCATGGCTTTGTTATTCACCAATATTAGGAAAACCATACTGTGAAAATTGCTGGCTTTTTGCTGATCAAAATCATGAACGTTTTACATTCCAAAGTGCATGGGTAGATGGAGTTCAGAGCTCAAAAAAACGATTACCAGCTAAAATTAGTAAACATGAAAACTCAAAGCTTCATATTGAAGCATCTGCTGTGTATCTTAGATGGAAAGAAGGAAAGACAATAGATGATGAAGCAGAAAAGCAGAATCGACGTGAAACTAATTTATGGGTGAACATTTTGAGAAGGGTTTTGGGTGTAATTCTTTGTCTGGCTTTGTTAAATATTGCTATGCGAGGACATGATGAAAAAGTAGGAGGAAATTTTCTGGGTGTAGTGACAATGTTAAGTGAATTTGACACTATTACAAATGATGCTATGTCCTTACCAAAGTATACGACTCGATACATGAGCCCCAAAATCCAGAATGAACTGATCCTAACAACATCCCAGCTATTGCAAAAGTCTTTGGTCACTCAGATAAATGAATATCCATTTTGGTCAATTGTGCTGGATACCACAAGCGACATAAACAGAGTAGATCAGCTCAGTGTCACTATCCGATGGGTCCAAATATTGAGCGAGAGTGTTTCAATTAAAGAAACTTTCCTTGGTTTTTATCGGTAATTGACGGAACGGCAGCCGGCCTCGTAAAAACAACATGCAAATATGTCAAAGATATTGGAATTGAAATGGAAAAGCTCCGTGGTCAAGCTTATGAAGGGGGGAGTGTCATGAGTGGTGTTCACAATGGTGTACAAAAGCTGATAAAAGATCGTTCATCAAAGCCTGTGCCATTCATTCATTGTGCAGCACACAATCTCAACCTTGTAATAAATGATGCCGTAAATTCCGTAGTTGATAACGATAAATTTTTTGAAGTTATTCAATCCATTTATATATTTTTCTCATCGTCCATCAATCGGTCAAGAGATTTACAGTTGCTTGCTGTTAATTTGTCATTGTCTTTAAAAAAGCTCTGCGTTACTAGGTGGTCGACATTTTGAAGCGACTGACAGTCATTTCGTTGACCAGCAAGGAAAAAAAAGAATGTGATGAAGCAGTTGGCATCAAAAAGAATATTGAAAAAATTTATTTTATCATAAATCTAGTTTTCTGGGAGAGAATTTTGACGTGTACCAACTCCGCATCAAAAGAATTGCAATTGAAAAGTGTCGACCTCAGTGCTGCTTCGAGACTTTCATCCATTAGTTTGTCAGAACTAAAGTATTTACGAGATTCGTGGGAGTCCATTCGAATGACCGCAAATGCCCTTGCTGCGTCATGGGGCATACCCATTGAATTTGAGAAACGACGTAAGCGTGGGGTAAAACGATTCTTCGACGAATTAGCCTCTGATTCTAGGATCGAGGATTCAGAAAGAGCTTTTAAAGTAAACATTTTTTACAGAACAATTGATGTTGCAGTGACACAGATAAAAGTGGGTTTTAAAGGAATGCAAATGGTCGCAGAAAAATTTGATTTTCTATTCCCAAGAAAGTTCGTCAAACTAGAAGCTTCCGAAATTAAAGAAGCCACCTTGAATATACTACGTACGTATGGCGAAAACTTTGATGGTGATGACCTGGAAAGGAGGTCCGTTCATCTCAAGTTGAATTTCTTAACGAACTAAATGGGGAAGACGTTACCTCGGTGTCAAGCATTCTTGAAATAATTTACAAAGCCATAATTGCTTTTTCCTTTCCCCAGTTGTGCAAATTGTTATTGCTATTCCTAACAATTCCCGTGACAGTAGAAAGGTCCTTTTCAAAGCAGAAGATCATTAAATCCTACTTAAGAAGTTCTATGGCTCAAGAGCGCTTAGATGGTCTAACTTTGATTTCTATAGAGAACGAAGAAATAACTCAAACATTAAAATATGAAGTTATCAATCATTTCGGTGGCTCCCTACAGTTATATTCTTGTAAAGACTGGGAACTAATTTTGACATATGTCGACGTCAGCGCGCGTTACTCATCCACGCAAATTACGCGCGTCTCGCGGACCGCGCGGGAAATTTAAAGTACAAGTGTGTCCGGAAAATTTTCAAAACAAGATGTCTTTTAGATTTAAAAATCGTGTGTCTTCAGGAAAGTTTGGGACAATTTCGGCAAGAAACATCTGCAATACAGCTAGGCTTCGCGAGGGCTATTATCGTTGGCGTCAAAAGCGTCCTTTGGAAGTAAGCGAAGAGAAAAGCGACCTATCCGTGAAACGGGTTTATACGAGATCGGCGGCGGTACGTATTTCTCGGACAAACATTAAAAGCTATTGAATTTTTATCAATTAACTCAATTCCACACTGTGAAAATTCTTTCCTAAAATCAGGACCATGAAGAACTCCAAGAAAATAGGCCACACGGCTCACGCATTTTTGACCTTGATATGTTATATGAAGAGTTAAAGACATGTAAATTTTGCATGAAAGGTAAACAACAATTTATAAGAGCATTATTTGTGAAAGTTTTTATAACATGCATTGCTCATATCTTATTTCTATACGGGTAATACAAATACACTTTAAAAATATACAAATATACTTTATTATAACATATATCTGCATGGTATACACAATATCACAAGTAAAGAAAGTGGCACAAATTACAGGTTATTACAAGTATTTATTACATTACATGTAATTTATTACCTGTAATATACCAAAAATTAATTCCCTAAATATAGAATATACTATACACAAACTATTTAAAATTATATAGAATTTTATTTATTTTTTTAGGTCCAATGTCAATTGCAAACGCAGTGTCTGAAAAGTGTTTTGCTTTGGCAACTCAGTTGATCATTAAATGTGAGTTCTGTGGAGGAAAGAATACAATAGAAACCAGTGGTAAACACAAATCTGGCAAGTGTGGTCCTAGTGCATATGACATCAATTCTAGAGCAGCATTGGCAAGCTTGCACACAGGCATAGGCAAAACACATCTAAATAGCATTCTGTCAACAATGAACATCCCTACAATGAGCCGAGCAAGTTTTAAGAATCGAGAGAGAGAAGTTGGTTCTATTATTGAAGGTGTTGCTAAAAAATCATGTGAAGATGTTGCCATTAAAGAAAAAAATAGTGCCATCTTGATGGGGGCTGAACCAGATGAAAATGATCTTATTCCAATCAGCGTCTCTTATGACATGGGATGGCAGAAGCGGGGTAAAGGCTTTAACTCAAATACTGGTCAAGGTGCTGTTATGGGGTTGGATACAGGCAAGATAATTGATTACACTACCAAAACTAAGACCTGCAGAATATGTGAACATGCTGCAAAAAGTCATGAACAGCCTAGACATCATGATTGCTGTAAAAACCATACAGGCTCGTCTAAATCGATGGAACCATTGTCGGCTGTTGACCTGTTCCAGAATGCCACAAACTATAACATTAAATATTCTAAGTACACTGGCGATGATGATTCAACAACAGAATGTTATGTTCATGAAAAGGTCCCATATGGCATTGAAAAATACAGTGATATAATACATATCAAACGCTCTCTAACAACCAGGCTATACAACCTGAGTAAAAGCAACAAATTTATCAATAGCTCACCATTATCTCAAAAAGTCATCAACTACCTGGTAAAATGTTTCTCAATTTGTGTCAATCAAGGAAAAGGAGATCCTAAATCCATCCAAACCTCCCTGAAGTCCATTGTTCCTCATGCATTTGGCAACCATGATGAATGCAATGATGAGTGGTGTGGATATAAACAGGATCCAGTTGAATACAGACACACCCATCTACCACATGGTAAAGATCTGTATGGAGATTGTCTATACAATGCTTTAGTGGAGTTGTTCAGCGAGTATTACAGTGATAAAGTCGTTGAAAAGCTTGCTCCTGTGGCAAACTCCCAGCGCAATGAGTCATTCAACAGTGTTGTTGGTTCAAAAGCCCCAAAGATTCGCTTCTACGGTGGAAGCAAAAGCAACGATTATAGAGTAGCCTGTGCGGTGGGCCAAACCAACATCGGCCACACTTATATCAATCGAACTCTGGAGGCAATGGGTGTTGAGCCAGGAAGTATTTGCACTGACCACAACCTAAAATTGGATAAAAAGAAAAGTAATGATAATGTTAGAAAGAAAACAATCGAATTCAAAAAGCAGAGAAATCAGCTGCATTCAAGGAGGCTATCTCATAACAGTAGAAAAGAGCAACAAGAGGGAAAAACATATGAAAGTAATGTGGGCCTCACATTGGACAAAATGTCAACAATAACATCAACAAGAGAAGCACCTGAAGTATTCAACATTTCTTGTGTATCAGACAAACCTTTCAAAACATATGAGAATACAGTCTCTGAGTTTACACCCAGACCAACATGTTCCGATATTGTTTACCATGATAACCTATTCTACAACATAATCATGTTTGATACAGAAACAAACGCGACCGGAAGAGCAGCCGAACTATGTCAATTGTCAGCAGTTGATAAGTATGATCATTGCACATTTTCAGAATATATTTTGCCAAATACTGCGATAGACAAATACTCTTCAAGAGTCAACAAGCTGACGATTAGAACTGTCAATGGTCAACGTACGCTTTTCAAAGAAGCAGAACAGCTAACAACACTCACCTCATCAGAAGCTATCTCCCGTTTTAGTTTATTCCTGGAATCATCAGTTGAATATTGTAAAACTTTAACGGATAAAGATGTTTGTACCATTCTTCTCGGCCATAACGCGAAACGATTTGATATACCGGTCATACTTCGCAACAGTACGAGTTCATTCCATGACAAATTACAGTCATCGGGAGTTTTATTTGGTGAAAGTCTTTCCATCTTTGAGCAATTAGCACGAAACAAACATCCTTCCCTGCAGCAAGCCAATGGTCAACCCTGCGCACTAAACCAGACTGCACTGTACAGATGCTTGTTTCAAGAATCCTTCGAAGCACACGATGCCCTTAAAGATGTCAAGGCCCTTCGAAAAATGCTATTTCACTCCAAATTGCAGCTCTCGGAACAGTTTATTGTCGACCATTGTAAGCCGATTTCTTGTGATTTTGCTCTAGAAGATTTACATTACTTAGACCGACGACACAAGATCTTGAAGTCCATGGAAAACAAGCTTTATAATCCATCAGGCAGTGGCGTAATAACAAAGAGCATGGCGGAGAAGATCGCTGGCAGTGGTTTAAGCTACGAGGATCTTTTACAGCTATTCAAAAACTTTGGTAAACCAGGACTGATTTCCATCCTTTCGAAACCTCCAACGGAAAACGACCCAGAATGACAAAAACTGCTCGAGTTCTCACGGCAATACAACGGCATTTCGAATCTAAATTTTCACATGAGCAATGACACGTTCGTCCCGCGTGGAAATTTAACGCATGCGTAAATAGCGATCATGTCGAATCGATATTTTGCAAGTCATCGCTTGGCCGCGCGAGTACAAAAGATGGAAAATACAGGGTTTCCTTCGGTGAATTTTTTTTTTAATTTCATATAATGAAAGAACATAACGTTCACTGCAACATATCAAATTTTGGAAAAATTTTATAAGACAGAACAATTTTAAACCAAGAAATTCTGTAGCCGAAAACCTACCTTGGAAACTCCATTTCATATTTTCACATATTTAAGAATATATAAAAAAAAGATTGTATGCACATTTTGGCGAAAATTGACTGAAGGAAATTCAAGATAATCCACATTAACTGCGATATATTAGGAAAAAAGCTTTTAGTTAAAATGTCATTGTTGCCATGGCAACGCTATATTTGTGAATTTTTTTGGATATTCTCATTGTTTAACACAATAGTTGTTGTTATACATGCTTCATAATTTCTTTCCAACATTTTATTAGTCGCATTAACTTGATAAATCGCAACGCATAAAAATCCCGATGAAATTCCGTAACTGTAGGGAGCCACCTTAATGCCAGAAGGAAGAGCGAATTTTCGTGTTCATAAAGTGTATAGGGTTTTTCGGACGGGAAATTGCCAGTTAATTTTTTATTTAGACGTTGTGTTTACACGTAGGACGCATAGCGGCATAATCTTAACAATGTAAATAGCTTTTCTGTAGCCAAAACATGCAAGTGAAGATTGCCATTATAATATATGTTGACAAAAATTTAGCCTATTGACCTATGTGGCCTATTGACGGGGGGCCTCAAGGGGTTGCGTTACGCCACTGAGTGTGGTATACCAAAACTGTTTACAGCCATCTTTACACTGACACACATTCATATTTTGATATTTTGCAGAGAAATGTAGAGTCTTATACACAATCCTGAGTTATTATAGTCATTATGAAGCAAAGATCAGATCAAATGGAAAAACCATTTGTAAGGCTACAGTGTGAATCATTATAATAAAAAAATCAAACACTGTATCAACAAGGATATCAGCACTCTTTTAAAGTTCTTCAAGCATCCATGGTATCACTGTATACAAATGCATACCTGATACAAGACCTTCATTTGGAAGATTATCAGGCTCAAACATGATATCTCTTGCTTCGTTAGAAACTAAATGAAAAATATTAGTCAGAAGAGTCGGACAGTCAGTGCAGACATAAAAAAATAAGATACAGAATAATAGTTGCATTGCTATTGGACGAACAACTGAAGGACTGACTCCATGCTTACTTGGCTACCCTGTATTGCCGTAAACACTTTTCTACAACTAAAAGAACTAACCTTGGCTTCTGGTTCTTCTAGACGGGTCATACATTCCTTCAAAATTACGAAGGCCTGTTTGAGGGTGAGTTGTTATCTCAAACCGAACAGGATTTTGTCTTTTCCTTCTTTTTGATGTTGATGAAGTATGGTCCGTTAAAAGATCACTCACTCGCTTTAGTGCGTCTTCCGTTGTCAGGTTTTTCTTCTTCTTTAAACGCACAGGCAACACCATTTCGACGACGGTCAATCAAAACTACTCACAACTCGTCGTCGGCCATGTTGATAACAAACATTAGCATGTGCTGCGCATACGTTTTGGAATTACTGTATGTTTTGCGCATGACTTGAATTTATGATTATCATGAATATAAATGAGAGTTAACAAATTCTAATATGCCCAGAAGCTCATTATTCCAGCCACAACATTACAAACAGGGACAAGCTGTAAAAACAATGTTAAGTTTTGTGATGTTGCCATCTCTCTATCTTGAGTCAGAAGCACAACATATACAACCTTTACATATACAGCTTTTTCATCTAATGTATTTGTTACAGAGTCACTTGTATTTATATGATTACAGCAATTTGGATTAATCTATCTTTACACAGTTGTTTTACTATAAATATAATACAGTTTTCATAAGAGATTGAATATACACTTTATGGTATGGTATGCGACTGTTCAGTCCGAATATCCCTTTTTGGTTACATAGTTTTCTCTACACTTATTTATATGTATGTATTTATATCTGAATCTATTTTCGATTACTGGGGTCTTATTTTGGTTAGTCTATATGGCTACTCTTTATTACGTTAATAATTTCTAGTCTATTTTTGTTTAATTGGATATATGAGCACATACTTTAACACTCCCACTTGCTCTTATGTTCTCTTAAACTCAAATCAATTTTATTTTTCTAACATGACAGTCTTAAACCTATTTAATTAACTTACCTTTACTTGTTGGTTTGGTAAACACATCAGCTACGTTGTCTTCTGTTGGACGTACACCAGACTTATAATTGCGTTCGACGAAGGAGAACGCTTCCTAATCGTGACGTCACGGCTGGATGGTGTGTCCTTTTGAGATTTTTGGATGTAACATTTGCCTCGCTTTCGTGTATATGGCGGATTTGCCTCGGTTTCGTGCTGCGTCTTAATTCCCATGTGCTCATCTTGAGTTGATTTACATATATCGAAGACAAATTTCAGGATTGCTGTTTTCGGCTTTTATTGTGAAGGTAAGTGGAGTTTTGTTATTTTCTTTACATATGTCAGTGTTAAGTATGATTAAAGATACTTATCAAAGCATCAAGAATTTGTCTTGCGGTGTTTTATCGACTTGAAATCCAACATTTCAATTCGCTATCAAACCACATGCGTTTTGTCCGCTAGAATTCGCAGATTTAACTTCGCTCTGCTTAACAAAGGGTTTGGATGCAAGTCCATTAATTTCGTCATTGAATGCTGAAGAAGTAAATGTTGTCAAGCATTTGAATATGCAGAGTTGTGTTGAAAAATGTGAGTTTCAAAGCATGAAAAATAAATACACAAATCCCAGTTATTTGGCTGGGTTGCCTTTGGGCAAAAAGACCATGTCTATAGTAGGTGGTCACACAAATAAATACACAAATCCCAGTTATTTGGCTGGGTTGCTTTTGGGCAAAAAGACCATGTCTATAGTAGGTGGTCACACAAATAAATACACAAATCCCAGTTATTTGGCTGGGTTGCCTTTGGGCAAAAAGACCATGTCTATAGTAGGTGGTCACACAAATAAATATACAAATCCCAGTTATTTGGTTGGGTTGCCTTTGGGCAAAAAGACCATGTCTATAGTAGGTGGTCACACAGATAGATACACAAATCTCAGTTATTTTGTTGAAACAATGAATTTATTTAGTAATCATACACAAGCAGAGCGAAGTTATCTTTTGCCATGTTTTATTACCAAAAATTACATGTGTTACCAATGAAATTTCTGATGCTTTGATAAATTGTGTTGGAACCTTTGTGAGAGAAATATATTATAATAAATTATGTGGTGGTATGTATTCAGGTGACAGCAATTTTCCCTGGAATAAGTTAGCTTTAATAGGTCGAGTGCCATATGATTGTGGAAGTTCACCTGGTGATTGCTTTTTTGCATCCTTAGCACATGGTCTTTATAAAAATCCTGATTGCCATCTTGATATTCGTAGTGCAGGCATTACACATTTGGTGCATAATCCTGAGTTATATATTGAAAGTCTTGCAAATATTTCATGGGAGAATTATATTGAAGACATGTCACAACCTGGAACATGGTGTGATAATATCATTATTCAAGCAGTAGCAAATGCTTTAAGCTGCACTATTCATATTACTGATTCCAGTCCAAATGCTAATGGAACCATTGTAAACCCAATTAGTGTACACCAGAGGCAAAAAATTGTATTCCTAGGTTATATAACTGGTGTACGTTATGTTTCCACTTTACCAAATGAAAGTGTGGGTAATCAGACAGATAGTAAAGGAAAGGAAATGCTAGAGAAAAGGAGAGTTTATGCCAAAAAAAGGCAATCTGATGAAACTGCGAATGCAAAAAAAGATTCGGCTTGACAAAGTGGCAGAGCAAAAAAAATCAAAAAAGGCTAGTGAAACTGCACAGAGTGTCACACAGTCTAAATATCTAAATGAATTTGATGCTGTGAAAAATGGACCACTGCATGATCAATGTTGGGCAAAATTTTATATTCCAATACACAGTTTGCAAAGAGGCATGGCCAATTACCACTAAACCAAAATCCCCTGGTAGCTATTTGTGCTCTCGCTGTTCTAGGGATAAAAACACACCAAAAAAATTTTCTGATGCTAACAGCATGATTCCAGGACCAGTACCAGTTGAGTTGCAAGGCCTAACTCAAACTGAAGAAATGCTCATTGCTCGAGCTCTGCCTATAATGAGGGTTTATATCAAACCAGGTGGGCAAATGGGGTATTCAGGGCATTGCATTAATTTGCCTCAACATATCGAAGAGATTGCATCATTTCTGCCAAGATATCCCAGGGACTTGTCTATTATTGTAGTTAAGATGAAGGGTAAAGATAACACATTCAAAGATGTTAAGGTCAGAAGAGAGAAAGTGCATCATGCATTGCTATGGCTTTTGAGAAATAATCCGCATTATACTAATGTGACTATCAATCAACATGCTTTGGAATCACTCCCTATTGATGGTGTTCCATCTGATATAATGACAGTTGCGTCTGATATTTTATCAGATGAAAATATTTTGCCTGACTTAGGCCCTTGCAGTGATAACAATGAAGACAAAGTCTACAATGAGACAACAGAAACGAGTAGCTTTATGCCAGCCTGTGAAAAACAGAAAACAGAAGTAGATGCAATAAAAAATCAATTATTTCCAAATGAGCCAATGAACTGGCCCACTATTGATAACTTGCCTATAAATGAATATCAGACATCATTTCTGGCTACATGGCATTTCCTACATTATTTCCCACAGGTAAAGGGGATCCAACAAATCCATCACTTTTAAAGGACATTCCCTTAGGTGAGAAAGTAAAGCATCTTGTTAAATTTGCTGAGCAGATTAATGGCAAATGGATTTTCCGATTTGCCAGTCATCCTAGGTTTTGTTATTGGGCATTTAATATGATACAGAGAAAACGAACCTTGCAACAAAGTGGAATGTTTCTTAAGCAAAATCCAGGTGAAGCTCACTTGACAATAGATGAACTGCGTGAAATGGCAGCAGGTGATAACAGTAATGCATTTATTTCTAAGATATCTCGATATGTAGCAAATATTGCTGGCTCTAATGCTTACTGGTATAAGGTGAGAGAAGATCTCAAAGCCATTGTCACAACTGTTGGGACTCCTACTTTTTTCTTTACATTTTCTTCGGCTGATATGCATTGGCCAGAGTTGCATAGGCTATTAGGAAATAGAAATGGCACTAGTGAAGAAAGGCTACAAGCTGTGATAAAAAATCCACATTTAGTAGATTGGTTTTTTACACAAAGAGTAGAAAGCTTTATCAAACACTGGTTGTACAAAACACTTGATGCAAAGTGGCACTGGTATAGATTTGAATACCAGGCAAGAGGAAGCATACATTGCCATGGCATTGCTAAACTAAACAACGACCCTGGTTTGTGTGATCTCACCAAAACTGCCCTTAAAGGATTCCTAGCTCAAAAATACAAAGATGAGAACAAAGATAAAAATACATCTGAACTTGACAATGATATTATTGGTAACAAAGCTGCTGAGACAGCTTGTAAGTATGTTGACTGGTTGCTTTCCACAGTTAATCCAAATCCACCAGACAATGCTTTATGGGTAAGACCAAGAATTCATCTATGTCAAAAGGATTATCAGGATGTTGCAGATTGTGATATGCATGATGATTTTTGTGATCTGTTAAATATGGTTCAGCGCCATACACGTTGTAGTACTAGCTATTGTCTAAGAAAAAAGACAACAGATTCTGAACCAAAATGTAGGTTCAATTTTCGAATGGATACATGCTCTAAAACAAGGTTAGACTTTGAAGAAGTTCATACTAAAGGTAATGAGCCACAATATAAGGCAAGAATTATTACCAGAAGAAATGATTCTCGGCTAAATAACAGCCAGCAGCTTCAACTACAAGGTTGGAGAGCCAATTGTGACATACAAGTAGTCATCGACCATTATGCTTGTGTTGAGTACCTCACTAAGTATGCTGCTAAGGGTGAACGCAGAACACCTATGCTTAAAGCAGCATTCAACAAAATCATGAATAATGCTCCAAGCAATGATAATCCTCACAAAGCTATTAGAAAAGTTGTTATGAAAACTATTGGTGAAAGAGATTATGCTACACAAGAAACAATGCACCATTTGCTCTCACTAAAGCTTCACAGCTCTAGCTTTAGAGTAATAACAGTTAGTTTAAATGGCTCTTGTAGGATTAACACATCAACACAAGAAGCAGACGTTTGCTCAAGCAATTCTCTTCTTGATGTCTATGCTAATCATGCACAATACAATAATGCAACTGTTACAACCAAATTAAATTTTGTTCAGTTTGCAACACAGTTTAGGGTTGTGAATAACAAGCTAACCAGACTTCCAGATGATGTTATTCCTAGAATTTTTCCAAACTATTCATGTAATCCAAGAGGGTCAAATTTTCCTCAGTATTGCAAATATCAGTTGTTAAGATACAAGCCTTGGAAAATAACACAAGAAAATGCTTGGGATGATGAAGAACCATCAGATGAAAACATGATAAATAAATGGCAAGAATTTCTTCAGACAGCATATGCAAAGGAAAATGTCCCTGACTGGTTTGACAAACTGATGAACAACCTGAAAATATTAGTGAAGAGTGGATGATCATATCTGATTTACATATGCCTTTCTCTGATTCATGCCAAACAAATGTAGAAATTGCTTATGAATGGAACAGTGATAGGGCTAATTATTCTGAGCAACACATTGGTGAAATGCCAGTGTGGATAAAAAATATGAGGGAGGGTAGTGATCAAGTCACACATGAAAACAATGAAAACATAGATGTTGATACCTTCAGTGAAATGCAAGAACTTGCATACAACATTGTCAGGTCTCACTTTAATGACATATCTTTAAATAGAACCCCACTTGCACTCATTATTAATGGAGTAGCAGGTACTGGTAAGAGTTACCTTATAAATGCTATCCGTACACTGCTTGGTCCCAAATGTGCAGTCACAGCGACAACTGGTAAGGCTGCCTTCAATATAAATGGGGAACAGTGCACTCTCTTTTAAAGTTGCCAGTTGGCTCAAGGGGTAATAAGAATCTTACAGGCCAGAATTTGATTAGATTACAAGAGTCTTTACATAACATTGATTATATTGTAATTAAAAGGTGCAAAAGTAATGCTCACAATGAATTTATGGCCAGCAGTGGGTCTTTGCAATGGTGCAACAGGGACTGTCACACATTTTATATATCAGAATAACCATCAGCCACCGGACCTGCCAATAGCAGTCATTGTTAAATTTGATAATTACCGAGGCCCATCGATTAGTGAGACACTTCCATCTTGTGTGCCAATATGTCCAGTAACTGCTTCGGCACAGTTACCTGATGGTTTCCATGAGAGACAACAGCTTCCCCTTAGATTAGCGTGGGCAATAACAATTCACAAAAGTCAAGGACTTACTTTATCTAAAGCCTGGATAAATATTGACAAAACAGAAAGAACGCCAGGAACCACATATGTAGCTCTTAGCAGAGTGAAATCATTATCCTCATGTGTTATTGAACCAATAAGCTATCAACGATTAACAAGTTTAAAATCTTCTAAAACTTTGGAGCATCGACTAAATGAAGAAGTCAGACTTGATAAAATGGCTGAAGTAACTTTTAACCGATTTCAGTAGGTGAAATTGACCTATACGTCTATTTCATAAGGGCCTGTATATTACTATCTGAAAATTATGATCGCAACATACGCAATGTTTGTTGTCGCAATTATTTGTTCAATTTTAATTTGTCCAACAACTGTCTTCATTGCATGCCTTGTTTTCTGGCTTCTAGGTAAGGTTCTGTTACTGTTTATGATAATACTAAAATGTCCATTTTACTCACCACTGTTTTCTATTTTTTATTTAGATTGTTAAACCTATACTGCTATTTGTGTCGTTCTTCAATGGAAGATTCTAACAAGACTCCTCAAGGTATGCAAGTTACAAGTTCACTCAGTATTTATCACGTAGAATTGAAGTGCATGTTATAACATAAATAAACCCAAAACATAGAACTCGACACATCTTCAGACCAAGAGGTGGTTTACATAATCACGTTTAGCCGAGATTCAACGAAGCGGGAGATGACTTTGAGGTATTGAAATGAGCATATAACATGATCCTGGCAGTCGTGTAGTCATCCTAACAATAGCATGTTCTTGTTTGGTGTCATAAACACTTATTTCAATACCTCAAAGTCATCTCATTCTTCCTTGAATCTCGGTTGAATGTGTTTATGGCTGTAAATAGTAATATGTATTGTTTTTCTTAGCCCTCCCGGAAGATAAAACAATGAACTGCTACCTGCATAACGTATCAGAGGTGAAAAATGCTACCGGATCGCAGAAAAAGTTTTTTAACTCCATTGTTCAGGGTAGTGACAAAGCAGTCAGAGCAGTTTGTTTTTCACCCGAAAAAAGGCCCGAGCTTCAAGCAATTACAGCAACAAAAAGTCCCGTTAAACTTAGGAATTATAAGCGAGCTAATAGCGGCAATGATGACTTAACAATAACGAAGTTCAACAAAATCACCCCTCTGGATCAGAACAAAATCAGCTTTCCCCATTTGGAAGAGCTATCAGCAGCTACAGTTGGAAATCCTGTCAAAATATCATCAATTCCAAACCTTGCTTCTGAGCAACTCATCTTTGTCAAAGCGAAAGTTCTTAAAATTTCTGGTGTAAAATCTCTGTCAACATGATATGGGAAACTGAAAAAGCAAGATGTCATAGTTGGAGACACAACTGCTCACATCAAATTAGTTCTCTGGAATGACCACGTAAACTCTCTTCAACAAGACAAAACGTACAAACTAAAGAACGTGAGAATCAAATCTACAAAGTACGAGTGCTACATTAATACTCCAAAGAATGAAGATTTTAAAGTAGAAGAAGTCGAACCATTTGAATTACCTGTTGCCGTATATGAAGATGAAGTTGATACCTTGATGAAAGTAGACGCTGTAATTATTGGCGTTCAACAAGCCTCCAAATTGTTGTCTTGTAACGGCTGCCAGAAACGTACCGTTGAAATAATTAATCGTTTGATGCAATTACCATCAACCTGCGACGTTTCCTGGTCTTTGCGTCTTCTCCTAAAACCACAGAAATCCCAAAAAAACCTCCACCTGAGACTTGACAGTAATATGACTCAGACTCTTGTGCAACTACTCGATCTGACTTTCGTATTGCCATCGACGACAGAAGACGAGATTATTGTGCTAATCCTGCAATCCATAAAGTGTCTCAAGTTTACATATGATTCTCTAACCAACCAAGTGACTGAAATTGTCTTCTCGTAAAATTGACTTTATGGGACTCCAACTTGTTGAACTTTGTTATATACTGTTAGGGTTGCTGTTGGAAAACTTTTGGTCTTTGTATGAAGTTGAACACGATAAAGTATTGACATTCTTAAAACTTAACAACATTGATGTTAATGAAGCCAGGACGTTGTTGACTTTGTAATTCAACATTATTAAAGGTTTATTGTTGTGTTATAACCGGTTAAAATTCCCTTGGAAGTTGAATAGGCCTCTACAAATCCCATTTTGAAAACAAATCGCCAAGGGAGGGGGGAGGTCTGGACTACAAAACAACATTAAAGGTTAGCACTATTTTCCATCCAACAAACTGACTTGATGTCATTCTCGGAAGATGGAAGAGGTGTTCAATGGCTATGTAACTAAAACCCTACTGTTATTCTAACCGCAACCCTAACCAAGTTAATAAAAAATCCAATCGAGTTTTCTGGATTGAAAATAGTGCTAACCAATGTTGAACAGCTGAACAGTACGCTTATCTAATTCAACAAGTCAAAACAATTCTGTAAACAATTTAAAATTCACTTCGAACGCACTTCACTAATCTTTGATTAATTCTAGTACCTACTTATATCTCTGAGCGGATGAAGTGGTATTTGATGTCAATATGCTTTGACCTTTGATGGTGTATGGGGTTCTTAGCTGATGAGGTTGATAGCCCCCTGTCTGTGTCAAACCACATAGCCACCTGCAGAACTACACTATTCTCACTCATACTTACCTTCATGTCTATACATAATTGTCTGATAAATTTTGCTTCTTGGACGGCATTTGCTAAAGCAATGTATTCGGCTTCACATGTAGACAATGCAACCGTTGGTTGCTTACGAATCCTCCAATATATAAGGGGGGCGGTCTCACATAACTGGAAGTTGTAACCCATTCAACTTTAATGGTTTCTCTGACTTTCAAAACACTAAACCTTGTTCAGATGTTCCCTTTAAGTATCTTAAAACATGTTTAGCCATAACAAGGTCCTCCCTACTTGGCTTAGCCATTTTTTGTGATAATTTCGTCACAATGAAACATAAATGAGGTCTGGTTCCTGTCATTACATAGATCAAGCTGCCTGCGATTGCTCAATACTCATGTGGGTCGTCTAGCTTGGACGACTCTTCATTTGTTGACCACTTATCGATTCCTAAAATACATGGCGTCGGTTTGGGTTTGCACTCATCCATCCCAAATTTTACTAAAACTTTCTCAATATATTGAGTTTGATTCATTTCGATACATGCTTTGTGCGCTTCTTTGTCGCATTTAAACTGAGTCCCCAAGAACCATGCCAGCTTACCGAGGTCTTTCATCTTAAACCTGTTATTCAGTGATTCTTTTACACTTGTCAACAACTCTAGGTCAGTGGCTGCTATTATAATGTCATCAACCCAAACAATTATTATTATGCACCTTTTAGCATTGATTTCTCGCATATATAGACATGCATCAGCATGTTATTGAACGAATTTCTCATTTTCCAGGTATTCATGCAACATGTTGTTCCAATTCCTCCCACTTTGTTTTAGCCCATACAAAGACTTATTTAATTTGCACACTAAATTTTCTCCATTTTCGCCGCGCTTTTCAAAACCTTACTAGCCATTTACTAGCCTCGGGCGATTTTACCGCCTGCTGGTAATTCACTGGAATTTCAGGCACGTTTACTATCTTGTAGCAATAATCTACAGAGTAACTTACGTCATCTACAACATACTCGCTTAAACAACTTGGCTTATTCCTAGCTCGTGTCAGGTACCTAGCTTGGTTTTCATTGCTACTTTCTCCCACTGTTTCCTTAACTGTCATGCACTGTAGTCTCCTCTTTATCTATTTCAATTGGTTCCCTATGAAATACCTCCTGGTCAGTGGTAACTTGATCAAGCTTATCCATGAATTTTACACATCTGACCTTTTCTAATTTGTTTGTTTCCGGGTAAAACACTAAGTACCCAGGACTTCCTCTGTTGTATTCCAGGAATAATAATACGGCATATCTCCACAACATTTTGGGTAATTTTCCTACGATTAACAGGCATCTTGTCATGCTGAATAAACCTCTCCATGCACGCTCTACCGTGCCTATATATATATATATATATATATATTCATACATACATATACACATACATACATACATACATACATACATTCATACATACATACATGTATATATATATATATATATATATATATTGTTTATTGTATATTGTATATATTGTAAAATATTGTATATAGAACCCATGTTTTTATGTTAACGAATATATATATATATATATATATATATATATATATATATATATATATATATATATATATATATATATATTGTATAATATTGTATATAGAACCCATGTTTTTATGTTAACGAAAATATAATAGTTTTTTAGTACACTAGAATAATAATAATTGTATAATAATTACAATTAATAATTACTATAGTATTAGCAATATTAACTACATGTATTGATGAAAATAAAGTTGCCATTGGTTAATTAAAAAAACAATGCAATAGACACTGCAAAATTGGTTAACAATTTCATTCAATGTTTCAACTAGGTTTCAGTCATCATCAGGTGACTGTAAGTTAGTAAAAAAACCGAATAAAAATGTTAACCATCTTTGGAGAGTCTCTTGTTTTGTTCTTTTTAATGCATTGGTAAACTGTAAGTAGTTTAGTCAAGATGTTCCTTTCTTAATCAATATGTACATTATGTTTCACAGCACTACATATGGTTTTTATATTTGTTCTTAATTGGGAACTATGAAGTGCAACTAGCACAATCACAAACTTCACCACAAACACTACAACAAAGGTGTTTGGGAGAAAGTGGTTTAATGTACCTTTCATCTGTGTCCATTGATTTTAGGAACATATATCTGAGACATGTGCCTCTGTTTTGACAATAAACTCGAATATCTTCTTGCATCCCCGGTTTGTTTTTTGCAACATCCCGATTATTGTAATATAGGACTGCAGTTGCATGGTTTCCATCTCTCCCAGCTCTTCCAGTTTCCTGAACATAGGCTTGTATTGCGTTTGGTGGAGTGATATGCACAACACTCTGATACCTTTGATATCAACACCCACCCCCAAGGCTACTGTTGCAAATACAGGATGTCCCAAAAAAACGCAACCACTTAAATATGCAAGAATATTAATATTGTTCGGGTTTGCACCATAGTTCAGCTAAAGTGACTTCTAGCATTGTAAATGAAGGATTAAGAGCCATTTTCAATTCCCAGAGGTGCTTATCTATTGCGCTTTAAAGCTGTATTAATGTTCTGCAAGTGGTTACTTTTTTTTTGGGACACCCTGTACAACCCTGATTGTGCTTCCTGTAGGACATGTCAACTGCTTCAAGACTTCATCTTTCATCTCCTTAGTTTGAGGCGAGTGAAACTGTGCGAATAATCTGTTTTCAGGAATTGGTGTGCTTCCCTTGGGATAATATTGATCACATCCCAGAACAAATTCAAACACTTTATATGCAAACCCACACCACTTCAAGGGGATGTAGATTATTGTCAAAGGATAGCACAACTGCTGTTTTTTCAAACCTTCAGCTATAGGAGTAAGCATATCTGTGAGAGAATCAATATCAGGTCCAGTTCTAAAATGCTTTTTGTATGTTATATTCATGCGATCAGGATTGCCAATGATCTCCACACATGATTTTAAGCCCAGGGATTTTTTGATGAAATCCCTATCATATCGGTTTGCTGTTGCAGTCATGGCTATGACAGGTACATTTAAAAATGTGGCACACAAGGCACCCAGATTTCCATAATCCACTCTCAAATCTTTACCCCTGATAAAAATATAAAACACATTGAAATTATAAATATATACTATAAACTTGAAATTGTAAGACTTGTTTGATAGGAGGAAGTTGTGTAATATACGATGTATTTTATATATGAAGAAAATTATATATATACAGTAATAAACACTTACCATTCTAAAATGCAATGGGACTCATCAACAACAATTGCACAAACGTTCTTTTGATACACAATGCTTCGCATCAATCTTCGTCCATATAAACAGGAAACAAGCGACTCAGGATGTGCAAATACAATATTATAATATCCTTCTTCAAGTTTTATTTTGTCATTAACAGGAAAGTCACAAACAACATCAGATCTAATGCCATCATCTTTGTCTTCCGCATCCTCAGAGTCTTCTGCTGCTACGTTCCTAACATCGAGGACTGATGCACGAATTATGCCCGCATTCAATTGTGAAATCTGGTCTTTCATTAGAGCATTTAAAGGCGACACGACGACGATTATAGAATCAATGTGTTCGGTGAATTTGGCAACACCGTTCTTAGCCGCGAATAACAGAGCAGGAAGCAAGTAAAAAATCAATGATTTACCGTATCCAGTTGGTAAAACCGCAAGAACATCCGAATTAAAAAATACCTTTTCTAAGCAAATCACCTGTTTTGGCTTTAACATGAATTCGCTATACAAACTATTTTGTATTGCAAATTGCAAACACGAAAGGAAAAGCCTGCACTTAGAGTTTGAAAACATGGCAACAATACATATGGATTAACCAGTAGGATTAACTACCCCCCCTAAGGATAAAATCATAATTGGAGACACGTGACCAAACAATACCAGGGTCTTTTCTCAGCGGGTGTTCCGCCCAGAGTGAGCACAGAGAAAAGACGCTGGGTACGAGGTTGACCTTACAGTTTGTTTCTTTTTTCAAGCAATAGGATCATGTAAAATATTCCAAAACAATGATGAATACATGGACCGAACACAATGATGTTAATGATAGAGAAAATGTTTTAACTCTAGAAAGCAGACATAGCAGCAATAGATAGGAAAAGCCTAGGGAGAAGAGATGGACCTTTGAACTTGGAATAAATGTAACTGAAAAGTTTTTTTCAATAGTTAAAGTGCTTGGAGAAAGGCTATGGAATCAAGGACAAATGCACTGCTTTAAGCATTACAAAGTTCCAGTTTTAGATTTCAGCAAAAGATTTTATACCAAAATTGCCCAAATGGCCAAAGGGCAAAATCTTCTCCATGTACAGTCAAGCACAGTAGGATAATTTTTTCCAAAGATAATTGGGCTTCAAAGAGAACTTATAGGTAGGCAAAATTTGTATTTGGCATCTGATATTTTCAATCTTCACGGGAGTGGTGTGATGACAAAACGTTTGGAGCTGTGTTCAAAACAGAGTTGTTTTTAACACAACTCCATTCCACAATGAATTCATGTTTAGTGTAAATTACACATTCAAGTGGAAAAGCTAGCCTTGGTGAAAGGCCAACTCTGCAAGTAAATCAAAAGAAAAACCTTGGTCTGCCAATGCCAACACACAGGAAGGATAATGAGGAATTGTTTGGCATACTTTGAAATCTGGACTCGGACTGAAAAAAAAACCTGTTACAAGCCGGTCCTTTTAATTACTAATGGCTGTGCTTTGGCTCAATTCGCTCGCAACAAAGTCTGTGAAACCGATTGCTTTTTAATTATTTATTCTTTGATACTACACTTATAGTTAAACAATTAACATCCATGACTTTTGATATATAATACTACTTAAACAGTTCAACTTATCTGTTTAAGCACAACTCTCGATATCTTGACAATTCTGCATTCTTTCTATCGTAATGGTTCACTCTTTTCTTTTGGTTTTTGGTTCTTTTCATGTTACTTCTTTGATTTTGTTTTCAAAGCAACAATGCTATTCAGGCTAGCGCCTTATGGTGTTACAAGCCAGTCCTTTTAGTTACTAATGGCTACGCTTTTGGCTCAATTCATGTAATGGGATTGGGCAATAATTTGAATCTCCACATATTAAAACACTATTGCCTGAGTAAGACCTTTCAGAAAATGGCAATGTGTTAGTAAGTATCAGTGATTGCAAAGCACCAGTATGACATAAAATTTTGATTGGTTTATGCACATTCAACTGGTCTTTTGAGAGTGATATAGAATCGTCTTAAGTAAAATGGCATAAATGAGTCCATGACAGGATCAACTGGAAATTTAACCTCACATTCCTTGTCTGCTTTGGGAAAGGCTTGGTATGGCGCATTCACATTGTGCAAGTCTGAATTTGTTTTGGAAATAAAGCCTGTCAGTTTTCGCAGTGGTCGATTCATTTTTAAAGAATAACACTCTGATCGAATGCAAACTTTTCACTTGCAATAATCACAGCCAATTGATTTAAACAGCAGATTATAATGGTAATGGTATTGTCAGGGTTTCATCCCTGAAACGGCTTGGGTGATGGGAAACATTTATTGTCGCTGAAATGGTTTTGGTAATTCCACAAGGAGAGAAGGATGTTATTACTTTTTGAGGTCATGGTCGAAAGCTTATGGGTCAGCGAGAAGTTATCCACCAAACGTGCTGCATCATTTAGCGTTGTCACCTTGTGATCGTTTACGAAGGTTCGAGTATCACCACTAAGGCAGTTTTTAAATTCTTCAATGAAAATAAGTTTACATAGACTCTCTCAATTGTTGTTTGTGTTTTCTGACCCACACCATCCCTTAAAAAGCTGAGCTTTCTCTTGGGCAAATTCAATGAAAGTTTTGTTACCAGTTTAATTTAGATTACGGAAATTTTGTTGATAAGCTTTGGGGAACAACTCATAACCTAACCTAACCAACTTAAAATCAGTTCCTTCACATACTACCATAAGTTTCAAGCACCATGTTACAAATGAAACAACTTATAGCCATTTTTGATTGGTTAATATTACTTAGTTGTAAAACAGAATTTATTTATTGCATAAGCAATGTTGTTTTCAGTAGTTTGAATACACTGTGCGGGCCCCGGTTACCTGCACATGCTAGTGCAGTTATGTAGTGAAACTTGTTAGTCGAGTTGATTTTCAGTGAGGTGCAAGTGGTTCCTCATCAATTCTCCATAGAGAAGTGCTGTCTTTTCAAGGTTGAGTTTGTTGAAAACCCTTGTTGTCATAAAGCTACCTGCTATACCTGTAGCAATTGTTTTACATGTTGCCGATTTTGTGAGGTTAGTACCTTATATGGCTATAACTAAATCTTCTCTTTTAGTCAAATAACTTGTAATCATAGCAAATAGAATATTTTCTTATCAAACTTTCCAGGAGCATGTTGTTGGGCAGGTAAAATACACAGCTGTCAAAATGTGTGTTCTATGCAACAAAAAGCCTGTGGACACAATATTCTTACTCTGCTTTCATCTAAAAAGCTTGTAAAGGTACTATGATTTTGCAAGAAAACATGTTGGCCTTCGTCTTGCCAACAACCTGCTATTTACACGATGTTGCCTTACATATCTCATTGAATCAAGTGCAATGGTTTTAGAGTGCTGAGCATTTGAGCTTGATGAAATGTTGGCTGTCTTTGTTCCCGATGAGAAATACATTTGCTCTTTTTGGCCCGCACCTAGTTTACTTATAGCACACTTTCGGTAGCGAAACATATTGAGTTATTTGGCCCACATATCCTTTTAAACCTCCAGTTATTTCATGCTTGTTTACTTTCTAAAAAAAAGAAAAATTCTTGCAATGTAGCAGTGTCATATCAAGTAAAATTTTGTACTTGTCACAGCTTGGTTAATAAATAAATAAAATTTCACTATAGTAAGGCCTTTACTATATACAAGATGTGTTTTAATTGTCTCCCGCACTGTCAACTTGATATAGGTGAAGGTAAAGTTGAGGGTATGAAAAGTGTTGAGTGTAGAAGTTTAGGGTAAGAAAAAATGTCCAGGGTTAAATCGAGAGTAAGAGAAAATGTTTAGGGTAAAAATCAAAAGGATTGCTGTATGTTTTTTGGCACTGCATTACAACTCTACATACAAGCTGACCTTTTAAAAAACACCTTACCACATGCATCAAATTACTTCGCAATTTTCTCCTGTGTCTTTATCTTCGAATATGTTGCAAAATGTAGAGGGAAGAATTTAAGAATAAAAATTTAAAACTTCGTTTAAGCTTTTGCACTTTTTGGGAGATTGTAGACTACATATACACTGATATTTTGAGAACATATTGACAAACATTGCATGAATGTTTTATACTTTTGCATGTAGACCGTAACTTCAATTCATTCACTTTCAGGCAGGTATAGAAATTTTGGGCCTTGTTGCCAGCATCCAGCTAACTGCTCAACGTCATCTGCCACGTTATCTTCGCTTGGAATGTGACGCCACTGTGATGGGTCACTGTTACGGATGGTTTGAATGTCTGGGACTGGCTTCTAATCCATGCAAAGACTATCTGACTGTCCGTAAAAAATATTATTTTCTCAACTTTATTCGCGTTTCTGATTCCATTGACGTTCCAATATTCGCGTTTCCGATTCTATCGAACTTTATTCCCGTTTCAATTCTTTAATCTTGATGCTAGTGCTGCTGCTTGTAGTAATTCTAAACTTGGTATGGATAACTCTTTGAGGGGTGCCACCCTACTCTTGGTGCAACAAAACATACTTCAAACTCCCTTTCATTGATCGCCCACTGAACATACGCACACATTCCAAATGCTTCTCTTGAGGCATCCGAAAACAAGCACAATATAGCTGCTCTGATTACTTCTTGTGGCATCAGGCTTCGAGGAAAGATTACATCATTTAACTTTCCAAATTGAGCAAAGATTTGTAGCCACTCCGTGCAGACGTTCGAGGGTAGTTCTTCATCCCAACCGAGTCCCAATTGCCATAAATGCTGCATTCCTATTTTCGCTCTTATGAAGGTGGGGGCAATACCTATGGGATCATATATCCTGGCGACGTATCTATCTCTTAGTCAGCTTGGGTCCATGTGTAGGTGACATTTCTATTATGTCAGCGCCAAAATATTGAATGTTAAACTGTCCATTTTACCATCCCATCCTACACTGAGAATCTTTTCTGGGCCTCCGCCTTGTGGAAGCTTCAAACTGAACGTTTACTGAGCTGATTCCTTGATCTCGACATTGGGTTGTGGAGTCACAGTAGAGATTCTTTTGCGCATGCGCCGGATGTATATTGAATGCTCATCTCGATTTGTGTCTGTCAATCGATTGATCGACACTGGCGGAGGGAATAATTAAGGAAAAAGTATACACTGATAAAATGGAGAGGGAAAACCCACCGCTACCGCCATATGCGTGCACAGATTATGATTATCAGATTTTTTTCCCGGAAGCGAAAGGTAAAGCAACCGAATGTAATATGTTAGTGTCTAATATTATCACATTATAACCGAGCTTTTGGGTAAAGTTTGAACTTTGAGGGCTGAATTTCTATTAAGTTCATTGCCTTAGAATTTGTTCCTTTTTAAACATATTTTAAGGTGGAATATTTTGTAAATTGGAGCGGTTATAGCTCTTTGTCCAACAGTTGGGAACCGGAAGAAAACTTGAATGCTTTTGCTTTGAGGTATAAAGACTTTAATAGACTGACTTGTGTTATTGTGCATTTGCCTGTCCTGATATTATAAAGTACTATGACATTCACTC